CATTCAGAATTTTTTCTGAAAACCTTTATATAAGGTAAAAAAAAGAACCAGTCAAATTTTCTCGATAGGGACTGTTACAAAAAAAAAGGATTTCAAAACATTTAGCAGTTGTACTCTTTAAAGTGTTGTCATTTTTCGATAGCACAATATTGATGTTAATAGAAATTTTTTCTTTGTACTCTATCGAGAAATCTTTTTAGAAATAAATGAATAAATATATTTATAATATATACATTTACAAATTGATACATAAATTCGTAAATATGTTTATAAATTATTAATTTCCATTTTTTCCTAAAGAGCAGGAAACGTTTTACTACTTCTTCCAACATAATAACCTTTGATGTAGCTTTAAAATCCATTTAAAAATAATCTTCACTCTGAGCGAATGCATTATTAATAAACTTTAAAAGCCCATAAAGTATATCCACATTTACCTCTTATTCGTGAAATTAAAAGCAGTATTAATTATAACTATTTTGAGCATTGTTATATTAATACTATTACTATGTATATGTAATTCAGTATTAATTCTAACTATTTCGAATAATTAATTTGGATAATAGACGCATCTTTGTAAAACGTAAATTTTCTCAACAAGTTTGAAATCGTGTAAAACCTCGTGCAATGGAATATAACTAACTTTCTTTTAGGATTAATTAAAAATGCGGACATATCAACCATGATCTCCAAATACTTGAGCCTTCCAATTTCCATCCAACTTTTATCCATTCGTTCTAGGCAAATAAAAATATTTTACTATGAAGTATTGATTTTAAGGATTATGCAGAAAATCAATTGTTAACAGACATTGAAATTGTATGCTATAAAAATAATTTTTTTACTCTCTCATAGATTCACTTAGAATATTCATAAACCAGGTTTAGTCCGTATCCTTTTTTACAATAGTGAAAAATCTATAAACCATTATTTTTACTGAACAGATAATTTATTTTTTCTTAATATTGATATTTTTCAAAATGTACGTGGGCAATACGAAAAACAACATCTGATTCACTGTAAGTAAAAATTCTGCATAGTTGGATTAAAATTTTTATTTGCATCTCAATGCTACAGGTGCTCTCTATTTTTCAATATAGTCCCTATGCATATTTTAACACATGTGATAGCGTTTTACCAACTTACGATTTCCTTCCGCGTAAAACTTAGCCCCCTCCAATTTCAAACAACCTATGCCAATTTCAGCATTTTGAAGTTCTTTGTCGTTCTTTATCGGCTTTGCCTAAGGCAGTGCTTCTTAAGCTTTCAATGTTTGCCACCCAATATTCAATTATAATTTTCATCGCACCTTCCCTCCAAAGAATAACAAAGTATTGAATTCAATAGCACTATACTTTGACGCTACAGCTATAATAGGACTTTAACCTCTTAAGTACCTCCGGCGTTTATCAATGTCTCGCTCAGCAACAGCATTAATTGCCCCGGACGTATATATGCACCTTTCCTAAGTATGATCTTTTCCGTGCATTGCTATCCATTATAATTATTCCGAGATCTTTCGAAGGCAATGAAAGGACCTTGACAATGTTTGCAAAGGATTTACATATTTCAGAAAAGATTTGCTTATTTTTGTTCCTTTTCTTCCCCCTCACCCAATACTTCACATACGCTCGTCTACGTGGAAAACGGTGGCATTAAGGAGTGAATCACGTAACTTTTAACTGGCAGTTAAGGAATTAATTATAAACTGTACAAATTATCATGATAAGGGTTAATTTTTTCTGACAAGCCCATGGGGGGGGGGTCACTGGTAATTATTCAACTTGTTCTTAACTTAGTATTGTTAAATTAGTTATAAAATACATTGCGCAATACTGATACGTTTATAAGTGTATTATATCAGTGTAAAGGTGTGTTTTATTTTTATTCTGTCAGAATGTATTTTGTTTGTTTACTTTCAGCAAATTAATAATTTTTTAATCAATTTTTGTTTTTGATTTTTCGGTATGCTCGCGGCTCCCTTACAGAGTTATCACGTCCCCCTTGGGCAGCGAGCCCCACAGTTTGAGAAACGTTGGCCTAAGGGGAGATTCTTCTTGCAAATAAATAGATGATAATTAAAAGAAAATAAGTCTGGGTTGTATGAGATCAGACGGCCTCTCACTCCTTGGGTAATCATAAATGTTTGTTTTTTTTTTCTTATTTGAATAATCTGACCCACTGACGCACTGCACTTTCATTCGCAATGTTTGGGTCTTATGCGACACACAATTCACGATGAATGTGGGCTGTTCTAATTACTAAATCCTTAATTCCATAGGTCAGTTAGACGACTATATACATTATATTGTTATGTTATTTCAATGATTCAGCTCATCCATTTAGATATTTTGGTTTATTACACACAGAAGACATGCATACAGCACAAAGAACATTACATAACTTATTTTACAAGCTAAAAAGTATAACTTTCAGATGACTTGCATTGTCATCTATTCATTTTACATTTTATTTATAACAGCTACCATTGATAAGTTCCTCGTTGTTCAAATTTGACGGGATTTTCAATAACAGCTCATATTTTATGACGCTATAACAAGTAAACACATGGTAATATGTTGCTCTCACTAATAGGTAGGAGCTTAATTAATCACAGAATGCTTGATGCCCCATTGTTGCATTTCGATCCCTACAACTTACACCACAACACAACGGAGGTTTGGTTCAAAATTACTTTCGTGATTAAAATCATTATTTAAATAGATAAGTATTAGATTTTTTTTGTTTACTTTACACTACTGACCATTAAAATTGCTACACCAAGAAGAGAAGCAATAACAAAGTGATATTTTTCAGGCAAATTTATTATATTGGAAATAACAAGTTATTAAATTTTCAAGAAATTTGGGTGTTAAGATCCTGAGAAATCAGTACGCCGAACAACCATCTCTGGCAATAATAACAGCACTTATACGCCTGGGCATTTTGTCAGAGATTGGATGGCAAGTACAGGTACAGATGCCCATGCAGCTTCAACACGATGCTACAGCTCATCAACCGTAGTGACTGCCGTATGGTGACGAGCCAGTCGCTCGGCAACCGTGGACCAGACGTTTTGTATTGGTTAGAGATCTGATGAACGTGCAGGCAAGGGAAACAGCCGAACATTTTAACATTTTCCATATCAAGGAAGGTCCGTACAATACCGGTAGCATGTGGTTGTGCATTATCCTGCTGAAACGTAGGGTTTCGTAGGGCTCGAATAAAGTGTAGAGCCACGGATCGTAACACACCAGAAATAAAACGTACACTTTTCAAAGTGCCGTCTATGTGATAAAGAGGTGGCCGAGACGTGTATCTAATAGCACCCAATACCATCACGCCAAGTGATGGGCCAGTATGACGAATGCACGCTGCCAATGTGCGTTCACCACGATGCCGCCAAACGCAGATGCGACCATCTTGATGATGTAAACAGAACCTGGATTCATCTGAAAAAATGACGTCTCGCCATTCGTGCGCCCAGGTTCATCGTTCATTCCACCATTGAAGACTCTCCTGTCTGTGATGCAGCGTCAAGAGTAGTAGCAGCCACGGTCTCCGAGCTGAGAGTCTATACTGTTGCATACGACGTCGAACTGTTCGTGCAGATATTTGTTGTATTGCAAACGACCCCAATTCTTGGCTCAGTGCTCGTGACGTGGCTACACGATCCATTAAGGTCATGCGGGTATCATGCGTTTCTTCTCAGCTGCTAGTGGTAGCGGGTCGTTGAGTTCAACATGGCGTTCCGTATTACATTCCTGAAACCATCGATTTCATATTCTTCTAACAGTCATTAGATATCGACCGACACGAGCAGCAATACTGCGATACGATAAACTGCAATCCCGGTACGCTACAATTCAACCTTTATCAAAGTTCTATGCGTGCTGGTACGCATTTTTGCTTTTTACACGAAGCATCACAACAACTTTTCACCAGGCAACAACGTTCAAATGCAATTTGTGTATGAGAAACCAGATGAACAACTTCTTCATTTAAACACATTATAGGTGTCGCTACAGGCGCCTACTTTGTCTGAATGTGCTGAAAAGCTAATTATTTACATATCACAACATCTTTTTAATGTCGCTTAAATTTCACGTCTTTAGTATGTCGCCTTCTTGGTATAGCAATTATAATGGCCAGTAGTACACTTTTAACGTTTACTTTTAGAGGGGGAGGGAGTTATCTTTTTTTTTTACTATTTCTATTCTCTATTCATGTGAATTAAACAAATATGGACACCAATACGTACTTAATATCATTTCTTATTGCATCTCAATACGGACATTCTGTAAAAATGTTGTAATTAAAAGTATCGACATCGTGATAACCATAATTAAATTAAGTAAATTACAATGAGAAAAACTACATTAACTCAATTTCACAGTTGAAATCTGTGTAAAATCGTAATAAAATGGATTTGTGAACAAAAAACATTTAAAAATTATTATGAGAATCGAAAATAAACATTACACAAAAAGTATGGTGACAACTTGCTCAAAATTAAATTCGTATCAGAGAGAATTTGACAAATATAAAAAAAATATTTTCAAAATTTTTGACTCAACATCATAGTTAAAATAGGTTATATTTTAAATAAATAGAGAAATGTGATGCATATATACTTATAAAGTTTTTAATTTTTTTTTGAAATTTCATTTAAAACGAATATTTGCCATTGTAATTAAAAACACTAGTAATATAAAAAAAAAATTAAGTCAATTCCTACTTAGGTCAACAAAGAAAAATTTTATTTTAGTTGCTTTTTATATGAATAGTTGCAATTAATATAAAAATGTATATATATGACAGAATCACAATATTAAGTGACAAAATAGAAAGCTATTTTCCTTGTAATTTTCCATTTTCCTTTCTATATATGGCGTTGGACTATTTTTTTTGTCTTTGTTACTATTAATTCATCAATTAAACGTAATTATTCTAATAAAATGGTATAGTAAATAGAAATCACACATTTTCAGAAAATAGGCCACCCCAGGTGGGATTCGAACCCACGACCTTTGGATTAGAAGTCCAACGTGATATGTATTGCACTACAGGGACACAACGAACGGCTTTCTTTTCTATATATGCTGTTGGACTATTATTTTTATTTGTTATTATTTATTCAGTTTTTAATTTAACCCTATATCTACCGATGTTACTTATATAACTTGAATAGAAAGTATTTTATAAAAGATTGAAAATTTGAACAAGATATGTATATATAAATATAAATATAAATATATATATATATATAATAGTAGAAAGTGAAAAAGAGAACGCATGCATTTTCCCTTTAAATAGATAAAGATGTACTTGTCAAATCTGTGGTATAGAAATATTTCCTTGAACACTAAAAAATTAATGAAATCACAAGCATTTTTTAAAATTTGTTTTAAAGAAAAAAAAAGCTTTTATGCCCATCTTTAATTATATTATCAATTCATAATAAATCCAAAATCTTAAACCATAAGGTTAAAAACAAAAATCTAAGCGATTATATTTAAAGCAGATTTTTGTGATAGAAAATATTACGTTAAAAATATTTCTGGAATTCAAATGTTTTGAAAAAATATTGTTGCTCTCATTCTAAATGTGATTTTAAGGGCATAAACTATGATTAATGCATAGTTATAAAAAGTCATTCCCGTGTCAACTTTTTAACTTCATTCCTCTAAGAATAAAACCATTTTCTGTAAAATCTTTTTTATTTATCTAAAGATACCTGAAAATTCTATTCTGGCATTTGCGCAATTAAAATAAGCAAAATGCGAAGATTCTGATGAGTTTTCTTTTTTGCTAAATATTACCTATTTTTTGCATTTTTCCTATTTTGATCTTAAAGAAAAGTTTCCGGAATTTAAAAAAATTGCATTGGGCATTATACATATAGAGAGAGAGTGAGAAAGGTTTAAGTTTTTTTTATGTCATTAGCTATTTGCAAGAATTCTTATAATTATCTTAATAAAAAGTTCTTTTGGAATAATTGAGTGTTGTCATGGAAACAAACAAAAAACGGAACTAGTTCCTTTTGAAACCAAAAGTTAGCGCAAAAATGACAGTAATTCAAAAACATGCATAATCATGCAGAAAAAAAATTATAGTCTTTCATATGTATTTCATAGTACTTAAAAAGTATAACGGCACTACAGTTTGTTGATGGTAAAAACATTTATTTTTTATTTTTTATTATTTGACGGCATTCTATAATTTTATTAATGGGTTCTTGATAATTTTACACTAATTTATCTGAAGTGTCACTTTTTCACCACACGTTAGTCATTTTTTATATTCCTAATCTTGTTTTTAATGCCAAGACAAATTCTAAGATATATTTAAACCTGACTTTTAATTACTGGAGAAAAAAACGTGTACTCAGTCATTCTATCAGTGTATTCAACTTATAGAACATTTAGCTTTATTGAATACAGTTATGTCGCTATTTTTTTTACATGTTTGCTAATATTTTTTTTAAATGATCGTTTGTTTTCGACTTTTCAATACATTAACGCCCCCTTGTAGAGTTATCACCCTCCCCACAGTTTGAGAAACGCTGTTTTAGATAGTAAAATAGATCATATGTGTGCGCATTTATTACCTCTTTATATGTACGGTGCATAAAGGAATATTTTATTCCCACTATAAACGTATTTTGAAACCTTTAAGTAAATGTGGGACAGTTAAGAGCTTAAGGCACGAAAAACAATTCTGCTTATAAGCTGTACTTAAAAATCATTAAAAAATGTTATTTTTGAGAACACGAAATTTTGTTGAACGCTGTAATCACAAGCAATCTTATTCAAAAGTTTTAGAAATTCTGTATTACCTTGTTGTAATAGGAGTATATGCTTATATTATCAACAACTCTCATTTTCTAAGAAAGAACACTTTTTACGTAGTATAAAAAGGGTCAAAATTTAATAAAAAAAGATCTGAAAATTGAACATTGTACGGAACGACAACAATTTACTCAGCAATAACAACCAAAAAGGACCCTAATTCGTAAAATATGTTATATTTTTTTTAAAAAAATAAACCTTTTGGGGAGTAAAAAACGTATTGAGAGGGAGAAAGCACTTAAATATTCAATCATATGATGCGTATACTGTGCATCTTCTCTTTCTCTCTTTTCCGGATAAATATTGATAAATTAATTAGTAGTGATAGAGAAATTCAGTGAATATTTAATCAGGGCTAGTGCTCACACTATACAATCGAATAAAAAACAAATGCTCTCACTGTTTTATCTGCGTTATTTTACTTGCATTATACACTTCCTTCGTGTGTGATAATCCAGATTGAATTACTTATGGTAGAGTTATTAATGATAACTTAATGAATTTATGGAATGCTGATCAAAATATGAAGTATCATCTTTATTTGATGATATTTCTACATTCGCTTTCCTTTATAAAATGCATATCATTTAATATTAACGTCACGTTAGATCACCTCAGAGGTCTACTGGTGACGAGCCACGTAGTGATGAACTATGATCTGCTGATGAGGTCTTTCCTTTGAGCATTTCTGATAGGTTAATTTATTGAAATATGAAACTGTGCAATAATCGTTTTAGATTCAGCTAAATACAATAAATCTTATATCACAGTTATAAAAGAAAAACTTCACTCCACCAGAACTACAAGAAAGCAAATGTCTTTTCGGAAATGATCTTAATATTGAAACAATGTTTGTTGCTCTCCCAGCATCTTGTGAATAATTAAGTTTTACAGGGAAAGCATGAAATTCAATACGAATATAAAAACCCAAGAAGATGTGAGAGGGTTGTCAGATTGGCAACTTAATCAACCTTGGTGATAGATTTGGTGAAAAACTATTTCGCCAAGGAGCCATCAAGAAGTCTGTGGGATTGAACCTTCAGGAAATTTCCAGTGGGATGTATAAGGGACCTTTGAAACATCAGTCGAGTCATTCGAGTTCAGAATTTGCTTATGCGTTGGCTGCAATAAGACAGAGGGACTATTTGTGTGAGTTCCTGCTTGTGGAAATGTTCTAGAGATCCGTTTTTGGAGCATTGTAAGGCTTGTTTATAAAGATTGCGTTTTCAACAACTGCAAATAATCTGTTATAATATTCCTTTGTGTATACCTGTGCTTCTCAAACTTTCAATACTGGTGCCCTTCTTTTCAATCACAATTTTTATCGCACCCCCCTTATACATCAATAATGTACTGAATGCAATAATAATGCACTTTGACGCTAAAGCAACAATCTTTATCATAAACCGTACAAATTCATGACATAAGTATTAAGTTTTGTATATGTTACTTTTAAGCAAAAAAAAATTCAGTAATAGGTGTGTTATTTTTCCTTTCTCTAATTTTTAAATTGGAACATATTGCAAAATGCGGTGGTTGCTTAGAAGACAAAATATAGATATCAGCTAAATGTAGAAAAATAACTCAGAGGGTCAATTTCTAATCATAAGCATTCCTTTAAAAAACTTTGCTCTGTAAGACAAGCCCATGGAAGACGCTAATACTTACTAAACTTGTTCCTAATTTAGTATTAATTAATTAGTTATAAAATACTCTGTGAAGCACTGATACATTAAAAGTATACCGGCTGAAGTGCCCGCTCTTTGTACAAGTTCATTTATAAGAAAATAAAACATTATTGATATAATCGCTTAATTGTAAGGAGAGTAAAGCCAAGTGTGTGACAATGTTTACAAAAATGTAAAATGATTTCTTTTAAATGATATTGCTCAAAGTATAATTAGTTTTAAGCCAACTGTAATTTTAAGCCTCATAGAATTAGCATTTAGAATTGATGTTGAATAATGAACAATAAAAAAAATTCTGATGAAGAATAATTGTATTATTTTTAATGTTTAAAGCGAAAAGACTTCAACCATATTTTAACCCTGGAGCAGGCGCGTACTCGATACTAATGGTCGAGCGGAGTTAATGAGTCACCCCAATTCTTTTTTTATAATTATTTTTATAGTACACAATAAAATTCGTAATTCCAGTGAATAATTTAATTAAGAGAAAATATACTCACCTGCTTTCAAGGACACAGAATATATTTCGGAAAAAAAGTTATCACACCGGGAACTCAGACAAAACAAGTACCTTAAGATCGTAAAAAAACGTCTGTCACTCCCAAAAAAAAGAGGGAGATATGTGACAAATATATTTTAGTTCACGTTAAGGGGACTTGGCACCTTTCAAAAACCGAAAATCGATGAAAATATCGATTTTTCAATTTTTAGTTTAAAATGTAGTTTGATACCTTTGGTACAATTGAGGGAAGTTTCGAAACGATCTGATTATTTTAAACGCAGTAAAATGCATTTTAAATATTTTGACAGCTCTGTCAGCAGTTTAAATGCCACGCCCACCTCAATGTTTACATTTTTTTACTTGAGAATAAATCCATTATTTTACATTAAAAACTACAGAGAAGCAGAGAATCCGTTAAGCTGTGACTGTAACTATCAGCAAAGTTGTTTATTTACATTAGCTTTGCCATTTTCGCTTGCTGTGTGATTTTTAGTTTCATTAGTTTTTAACTTCATAGAAACCTAAAACAGCATTTTTTAATGCTACTTCAATCATAATTCATTTTATTAGTGGTTGTTATCGCTAATATGCCTCTTAGAAAACGTTCAGTACGTGCTTTGCAAATGAATGAAAAGCGATGGTGTAAAGCGAAAGTTGATTGTGAAGTGAACAAAATTCAGTTTTTTCAAATGTACGCCTGGAAAAATTGAACACTGTGGTAAAAAAGGATACCTCTGCTATTGGAAATTATATATTGGTGGACTTTAACCAAGTTAACAATCTTCTTCGAAGTGCAAAGTGCCAATATTGTGAAAAACAAACTTTGAAACTGGAGCTTGGAGCCAAGTTGGGATTTTCATACAATTTAAAACTATTGTGTAGCAATTGTGATGAAAACAAAACTGTTGTAAACACATCTCTAAAGTCTGTTCAGACCAGCCATGATGTGAATTTGAGAATAACTCAAGCTTTTTCACATATTGGGAAAGGTTATTCAGCTATAGAAAAATTTTGTATGGTGATGAATATAGA